AACATCCGGTTGGGGCCTCAGCGAAGAGAATCAAGTTTTGGTTGATTCAACGAGTAATACATTTACAGGTAGAATCTTATTAAAACATCTATTTGGTTTTGCTGAATCTTACAAAAAAGGGATAATAGGTGTTAGGCATGAGATGACTGTAATAATTGCTCGAGCATTCGAAAATTGCTATATAGGAGAAGTCGATGCAGACATAACTATCACTAAAATGGATTGGATAGTCAAACATATTACTCCCGAAAATGATGCAGATGTTCTCATGTATAAAAAAATTAATGACAAACATTTGCAATCCATTAAAATACCGCACCATAAATGGGATCTTTATGAATTACCTACTCTAAGACAAACTTCTAACGACATATGGGCGATTAAAACCACTACATCCATGGAACGACCTAGATATGTAATTATTGGATTTCAAAATACTTCTTTTACTGAAAACAGGAAAGAAGATGTGACGGCGTTTACGGCTGCTGATATAAGCAATATCAGATTATATCTAAATTCTGAAGTTTACCCATTAGAGCGTTGGAATTTAGATGTTGGGAAAAAGTTGGATACTCCCGCTTATTATGCTTATGAAGATTTTCAGCGAAGTTACTACAAAAAGGAAAATCCCCAACCGATGTTAGGCCTGAATGGCTTTAGAGCGAACCCCCTATTCGTAATTGATTGCAGTATGTATCCAAAACCAATCAAATCTTCAACTGTGGATGTCAAGGTTGAATTCGAAACACGTAAAATGCAGTTTCCCGCCAACACTAAAGCGTATGCGCTTATTATTCATGAAGCTCTTATAAGTTATAATGCACTAGATGGCACTGTACACACTGAATATATGCCATTGTAGTTCATATAATCTAATTTACTGTATCCAAACTTATACCTGTGTTCACTTTTAACAAAAATAAAAAGATGTAACCTTTTTTAAATAAAAAACAATTAAACTATGTATATTGTTTTATTTATATTTTAATCACAGATAGATAGATATATTATATAAGTAATCCCTAATCCATTTCGTCATCTGTCTCATCATCAGCCTCATCGTCTGCATCTTCATCTAAACCATGTTTACTCCTTATTTGCGGGGTGATGTATGGTAAGGCCTCGTTCAAGAAGCGTTTCAAACTTAGGGTAACCATCTTCTCACAGAATGTATCCAAGTCCAGCTCACATGCATTATATTCGCAGCAAAGACTGCTGCCTTTACAGTATTTCTCATAACAATCGTTTTGATAGGCCACAGCTTCTGGAAACAGCCATACCTCAGCGTCGTAATTGATGGAGTGTAACGCATCCATCGCCAGTGCGTCCAGTTCCTTTCCAAGCCTGCTTATTGCTGATTCTAAGTCGATGGCTTTAGGCCAGTGCTCTTCGGAATACATCATCCACATGTCGAAATAATCTGAAACAATATTTGGCCGTTATTAAATGAACAAATATTGGTAAAGTTATACTTACGATAAAATTGTGGAAATTCTTAATGAAATATTGCGTATATTAGATATCTATATGTGTTTAAAAGTAAAAAAATATTTACAGTGACTCTACCATGGATTTAACTAATTGATTGCTGGCCAACTAGATCGATTCTTATATGAGACCTAGTAGTTGAGTTGTAACACGGCTTTTCCCCTAAATAGGCCATGGCATATTGGCCAGTAGAATCATTTATCATAGCAATGACTTCGGGTGGCATTATTTCAAAAATGCGTCTCGGTAACCAACACTGGAAAAGCTCCTGTGAGTGCCGATCAATTAAATGAATAAGTAAACATTTACCATATCTGGTATCTTTGACCAATATCGTTTTAATAATATAAAGTTGACCTATAACCAATGACTTTAGTTCTCTTTGGTCCAATATTGTGGGCCAGTCTCCAAGTAATTTATTAACCGCATCAATTTGCGTTTGAGCCATAGTAGAATACAAATAAATATTTTTTTTACCTGTATAATACACAATACTACACTCAGTTATTATTTGAAACTTCTAAAGACTCTTAAAGCTTACGATTTTAAACTGATTCCATTTGGATATGAGGTCGCTATATATCCTCCCTAAAAATCCCCACCTCCACTATATTTTCCTTCTCAATATTCATAGTATGTAATATAGAATACAATAGTAATCACTAGGAGGTAAATAGTAATGACTATTTTAGCGGTACTTACAAGGTGTATAGAGTAATGAGATGTACTTACTATGCTCATTACACTACTCAATTACGTTCATTAAAGTATATAATTTAATGAATAATTGGGAGGCACTTGCTAATTGCGCGAAGGTTGGGATACTACCCCTTCCAACAATATTTACATCGCGCGTGTCTGCCGAAGACCGGTGATTCACTTTAGCTATGGCGGTTGAGAGTCAAGGGTGTGCATGGCGCCGACTTATTTCCCCTATGCTACAACAGTAAACAAGAGAAGTACTTAGACTTATTACACTACGTGATATACACAGTAAATACTGTCTGAGAGGTATGCATATGGTGTAATGAGAGGTACTTACTATGCTCATTACGCTATGTAATTACACTCAGTACAGAATAATTGGTTGGTCCTTACATCACTGTGTGTACTGAGAGGTACTTACTATACTCATTACACTATGCAATTACACTCATTACACTATGCAATAACATGGTGTACAGAGTAATTCGGAGGTACTTGCTATTTGCGCGAAGGGTGGGGGGTACTTGCTAATTGCGCTAAGGGTGGGGGGTACTTGCTCGAAGGGTGGGGGGTACTTGCTCGAAGGGTGGGGGGTACTTGCTCGAAGGGTGGGGGGTGGGTACTTAGGGTAATTACTAATTACACCAATTGCCTCTGACCTTGCCTCTGACCTTGGTCCAGAACTGGCTAATCCCATCTACTAAGCATTGTCCATAACAATCGTTGAAGCCTCAGTTAAATTCATAAGTAACTGATTCTCGAACCATTTTAAAAAAATTGATTCATTCATTTCATTTCCTATAGTCGGGGTTATTACTGTTTGATTAAAATACCAGTTCTGAACCATCAATAAAAGCATACGAGAACAATATTAACCTTTTTCCATCAACTCTTATAGTTTGTATGCTCCTTTTATCGTTATTTTGCCAAGAGCGGCTTACTCTGCCATTTTGAAAAATCCATGTTTCATCCAAATAAACAAATTTATATAGACAGATTTTTTGTACTTGTGTATAACTTTAAAAAAATAATGCATTTTTACTGGCAACTTGAAGAAGTTCCATAAGAACCCGCTAGGGGTAGTCTTTTTCCATTTAAATTCTATATTGGTTAACACTGTACGCATTTCTCTTTGCGTTAAAGTTTCATGTAATTTCGCAAGTTACTTGCTGTTTCTTCTTTTTCATATCGTAAATTACATCACGAATGTAAATTGTGGTTATGGGTTTGGGATGTGGTCGCTTTTGTGGAGGAAAATTTAAAATATGGTTATTCTTTAATGTCTGGGAAATTGAGCATACCGTAGAAATATTTAAATTCAACGCCGCTGCTACACGCTCTCTAACTGCATTTATTAAATATCTTATTAAAGACACCTCACTAATTCTTTCGCACGGCTATTTAAATACTTGGACATTTTAAAAATCAAAAAATAAATTTGACTATCTCCCTAGACCAAATATCAGCGACTATTTCTCTAGAGAAATAGTCGATATTTGGTCTAGTGAGATAGTCGTTCCAAATATAACACGGCCTTGATTAATATTCTGCCATTTTTGTTTTTGCTAAATTTCTCGAACATTTTACAATTTGATTCTACATAATTTTGGCAATAATTAATTTATCTGGAGAAATAGTCAATATTATTTGGTCTAGTCAAATAGTCGTCCCAAATATAACACTACCTTGATTAATATTCTGCTATTTTTGTTGTTGCTAAATTTCTCGAACATTTTACAATTTGATTCTACATAATTTTGGCATTAATAATCAATTGATTAAAGCTCTCGGGCTCTAATCAGATTAGGAATGCCAAAAATTATGTCTCATCAAATTGATATTAAAATATTCTCGAGATTTAGATTCAACAAAAATAGCTGACTATTATCAAGGTCCTGGTATATTATCCTTGACTATTAAATACAAAAATAATACTCTTGACAGGTTGACAGTTCAATCATAAAAAGATCTATTAATTTGGCAACTGTCCGTTACGTACACCAATTATGCTCACTTCAATCTTGAAAAGCAACAAATATGACTAACAGCAATAATTATTTATCTGTCCAATTTGATAAATAATTTTCATCAGTGATGACGTGCAACCGAAATTTTATTGCAATGGGCATATTAATATTGTATTGCAGAGGAATCTGCGAGCTCTTTTCAAGCATTTTCCATAATTGACCGCAGTTTGCCGGCCTAAAGTTTTTGAGATATATCTCTTTATATAAAACACCATACAATTTCAATGGGGTTCAACTCAGGACTTTGCTGGCCATGGCAAAACATTTTATCTCGTTGATCCACCTGCTATCTCTTGCTATTCGACGCGTTTGAACGGATAATTATCCTGCTAAAAAAATCAAATAATAAACATTTACGAGTATACCAAACTGTTTTTTTACTTTAACTGACATTTAATTCAGCAGCCACTTTACTTATATTATGTTATAGCCAATCTACTTTTGAGCCTAAGTTAAATGCTGCGGCTCTCAAATTTTGAATGAAGGCTTTCAAATTTCGGTTTTGTCAACTAACGATGCAAACAAAAAAAAAAATACCCAGCATCCACAAGTTAAATTTGCTTTCACCCTTAGACCTTATCTGTGTTCTATGTTAATAAAAACATAAGTCTAATAAATTATATGAAATATTTAGACCATTTTTTAAATTTTTACAAAACTGTATAACTCTCGAAATAAGCAGCTCATATTATTTTAATTAACGAAATTTTCTACTGCACTGGATACGCCTACAACGATTGCTCGGGTATTTTCGGAATGTCAGCTGTATTTTGTAACTAACTTCACATTATTATACTTTAACCTCACTTTGTCAATTTATTTTTATGTTTTAAATGTTTGTAGGTATGCTAATGAACTTGACTGAAAATAAATGGCTCCAACTAAAAATACTCTTCAAAGCAGGTTAAATAATCCCGGGATGTCTAGCGTAATAAAAAAATTTTTTTCAAAAGATTTTTTAAAGAAACTTATTTTTGATCCTCATTTTTTATGGCCAACATGCCTAATTCTGCTATTGGTAGAATTTGTACTCAATATATTCATTATTCAGAAGGTGAAATACACAGAAATCGACTGGATTGCTTATATGCAAGAAGTTGAGGGATTTTTAAATGGAACATTAGACTACAAAGAGTTAAAAGGTAACTTAATTAAAATGCTTTTTATTATCATTTACTCTCAATGTTACGATTTTTAGGTGACACAGGACCGTTGGTGTATCCGGCTGGATTTGTATATATTTATGCAATTTTTTACTATGTTACTTCACAAGGAAAGAACATATACTTAGCACAGTATATCTTTTTGTTTTTATATATGATACAAACATATTTAGTACAAAGAATAATCAGAAAGACTATGAAGATTCCACCCTATGCTTTAGTTATTGCTACTCTAACATCTTATAGGATACATTCGATTTTTGTTTTAAGATTATTCAATGATCCTGTAGCTGTTTTACTCTTTTATATAAGTTTAAACTTGTTTATTTCAAACAAATGGTTGTTAGGAAGTATTTTTTATTCTCTTGCTGTTTCTGTGAAAATGAATATATTACTGTATGCACCATGTCTTCTTTTAGCCTATTTAACAAACTTAAGTTACTTGGAAACCTTTATTAACTTATTTATTTGTGGGGTAATACAGTTAATTCTTGGACTTCCTTTCTTATATGGCAACTTTGTGTCTTATTTAAAAGGTAGCTTTGATTTAGGACGAGTGTTTGAACATAAATGGACAGTCAACTTTCGTTTCCTACCTAGAGACATTTTCGAAGATAAAATATTTCATTTAATCCTTCTTGCATTACACATCTTACTGTTACTGGTATTTTTGCCACATTTAAAAAAATATTTAAGTAGTTATGCCAAATTAAATGTAGTAACTTATCAATTAAGACTGCAATTAGACAAAGAAAAGAAAAAGACTGAGAAAAAACTTAAAGAAGAGGAAAAGAAGTTGAGTAAAAGCCAAAAGAATTTCTTGGAATCATTTGAGAAGCAATTAAAAGGTAGTGGGCAATCAAAAGTACAAGAAGAACCGTCCAAAATTGATGACAAACTGTCTAAAATTATTCAATTATTTATATTGCCATTTTTTGTGACAAATCTTATAGGCATAGCCTGTGCTAGGTCATTGCATTATCAATTTTACAGTTGGTATTTTCATAGTCTTTTATATCTGGTGTTTTGTACTGAATACCGAAGCCCTTTGAAATTTTTATTGTTAGGTTTGATAGAATATTGTTGGAATGTCTATCCTAGTACCAATTTTTCAAGTGCTCTGTTACATTGTTGCCATGTTGTTTTATTGGTTGGTCTTTATAGAAACATGAGAAAATGATATTTACAATTATTGTTAAATAAAGTAAATTTTAGACAATTATGTTTGTTTTAACTCATCAAGTCAAGATTGGACACAATGCGCAGACGCTGCACGTGTGCTTACCTTGTTGATTGGTTTAGTATCATCCAGAGATAATAGGATATGTAGCTATTCATTGATAAAAAATATTCAAGCTGCCAACATTAACTATACACTCTAGTTGTAGGTCCGGAGTGAAGACACGTTTAGTTAGAGGGGATAAAGAGAAGGATTTTACAGCGATACAATTTTTTTTATCAATGAATATATGTATTAGCCAGGTGTAACTGCTTGAGCGCTTATAACATTTTGGAATTTATTGAAAATTATTACATCTAATTTAGTTAAATTTGATATAATTAATAATTCAAAATTTTTTGGGTTTACTTGCAATAAAATAGGTTGAATTATTTTAACTTTATTAAGATATGTAAATAATTTTGTAAACAAAACGAGAATGAAATAGGCATGATAATATTTGTTAGTAGTTACATCTCCTGTTATCTCTGGTATCATCTCTATCTGCAAATAGATTTTGCCTACCTTATCGATTTTTAAGTTATGTGACAACATAAAATAATAAAGCCCAGAACAGTGAATCATCATTTATTTTTGATATAAAACTTAAAAGTTAAAAGCATCATTACAAATAAGATATTAACAAAGGTTTTCATTGAACGTTTAATAAGTATTCAAGGAAACATTTAAAATTCGAAACAATCGGCATATTAATGAAAATGATTGATCAATTGATAACAAAAAGAAAATAAAAAATGCATACAACTAGTTAATCAAAGTACGTGTACTTATAACGTTATATACTCTCTAAGCTGTGATAAAGTATCCTCATCAACGCTTTGTATCAGAAATTCGTATTGTTGCAAACCCACTTGGTTTTTCAATGCAAACATTTGCGATTGGAGGTAGTCTTTTAAAACTATCGTATGCACGGGATCCGATAGAATCAACTGCTTCTTTCTTTGGTTGTGATCCGTTTCATAATAACCATCACCATCTTCGAAGTCACTAGGACTTTGCCCTTCGGTCAATACAAGAGAATCTACCAATAAACCGTTTTCGTCCTTGGTAATATCGTTAAGGGCTTCCAAAATGTTTAGCATTACCAAACTGAATCGTTCCAAAACCAAAGCACTTTGTGTCGTCAACAAGCTAACAAGGGCCAGACCTAGCAGCTTCCTGTGATCGGTTTGGGATACGTTCCTCATCCTATCCAACCACATATCTAGAAGTTTCCCTAAAGTAAGATGTTCAGTTTCGTTATTTTCTTGTGATAGCTTATTTAGTACTCGCATAAAAATCTCGTGGGAGGATAACAGTACTCTAGACATTATGCATAAACACATAGACATCAACATCGGGTAGTCTTCTCCGAAATATATTCTTTCGAAGATCCTTGGAAGTATCGGCAGCGTAGATTCGGCCCCTAGTCCCGGAGACGCTCTTAAAAACGTTTCTACCAGACGCAATAAAACAACAACGCCTTCATTTTTTAAATCTGACATTATACCATCGCATACTTGTATAATTTGAACTCCTTGAGTCCGCATCACCAACTCAGGAGCCAGCAATAAATGTACAAGGCATATAATGAGGCATTGACGAAGAGTTTCAGTGGAAAATTCGATTAAAGCAGGCATATTGTTGAATAAAAGCATTAGTTCGTTTGTCATAGAGGTGGAATATTCTAAAACTGTTAACCATAAGTCTAAGCAATCTTCCAATAAATACACGCTAGCTTTTTGGGATACATCGGTTCCTAATTGGATAATCGGTAGCAAAAATGGATATAATTCTGGTTTGACGCCGCCTAGAGCTTTGACAAGCTGCACTAACGTTGCGACAATAGCACATTTCAGCATATTGTGCTCTTCGGATTCCTGCCAAAGATACGGCAAGTATTGCAACAAAGAATCCAACTCATTTTGAAGTATACTACCCATTCGTTCCAATAGCAAAGTCATAACGTTCAATACCTGCATTTTGGTTTCACACTCTTTCGATTCCTTCAGTAAACTGAATAGCAAATTAAAAGCGTTAAACATGTAACTTTTAAATTGTTCGCTATTGAACTCAAAATCGTCTATGGCGTACCTCAAAGTAGACGCGGCCGTCAGTCGTACCGCCATGTCTTCCTTAGGATCTAATAGGTTATTGATGCATTCGTAAAGAACCGGTCTCAACTCGCTCGACAGTTTGATGCCGGTCCATCGACCTATTAGGGCCGTTACCCGTCTTCGTATCACTCTATAATTGTTATCTTTTATTTTCAATTCTTGAAACAACGTGTTCATGAACCAGGAGTCGAAATCCACTTCGTCGTATAGATCAAAAGCGCATAAACCAACAGCGTTGTAAACCGCGTCTTTTTTAAGAATCCCTTGCATATCGTCTGGCGACACAAGCACGTTAGTTTCAGCTACTAGTTCTAATATTACCGGTACTAAATTTTTCTTATATTCGTGAAAGATTGTTACGAAAACCGTATCAGTGCTAGGCCTCAAACTGTACTTCCAGCTATCACCGCTTTCGTCATTGGAAAACTCTTCTGGATCCGAATCCCACATGTCTAACTCATCTTGGGTCAGGATGAAATAATGTCCTATCAATTTGCGGCACATATCTGATACCCTGTCGGGTTGGAAAAAGGCTTGTTTGATTTTCTGGGCTCTCATTGTATCGGGATATTTGCTCATGTCTGATTTAGCGGATTTGTATTCGACGCATAAAAGGATGTTTTTCATCAAGTTGAAGCATTGGATCACGAATCTTTCGAATACGAAATTGATGCCTTCGTCGGTGAATAGGTAATAAAAAATGAATTCTAGCGTGGGCTCGATGAAATCGATGAACGAAATCGGATGGCTGTCTAGTACTGATAATAAAACTTTACTCAAATGTATGATGAACTTTTCACATTGCTCTAAAACATAGATGCCCTTTCCTTTGAGCTGTTTACGGCATTGCAGCACGATTTTGGCTTTTTCGAATAATATTTTCAAAAACGACATGCAGCTTTCGCTTTCGTGCGGTTTATAGAACCCAAACACTGATAATTTCCTCAATATTCTAAGTGTTAGAAGAGCCTTTTCCAAGTTAACTGTTATTACATCGGCATTGGCGTTTTGGGATATATCTCTGATAAACGCTTCTGTGTAATTGTTCCACAAATTTAAGATAAAATTGTAGATGTTCAGTGTGAACTCGTAGAAGGTGCGTCTGTCACCGGCTAGACGTTTCGAGGAAATGGCTTTGACGACGTGATGTAGGGTTAGAAGCGATCTGTGTTGAACTAGGCTGTCGACGTTTTCCACTGCAGCTAATAGAGTCGGGAAAAGTTCCGGCCATTCTTTGGGGCAATCTATTCTGGCTATTTTCGAAACTAGAACGGCTCGTTGAATGGCTATCTGATTGATTGGTTCCGTGAAATTACTCAGCAAACCCAACCTGATGTTGTGTTTTTCGGCCTCGTCTATAGAGTTTGGGGCGTTCTTTCTCCAATACTTATCCACTCCGTTTTTCATATATAAAACTGCTATCCAACGTACATTTACGTCAATCGAATGTGTCGATATAACTTGGAATAACGTCGTGTAGAATCCAGGTTGGGTTTCCCATTCTCTCAATTTAGCCTCGGCGGGTTTTAGTATATCAGGATTTTGACTAGCGGCTCCTTGAAGAACTTCTATCACAAGGATATCTGTCGAATTCATTATAATTTTTTATATTTACATTTAAAGGATATTTACAATTATTATAAAATGTCTTATTTATAACTTTTACACTGTTTATTCTAATTCTTCTTTCTTGATTTCGTCCAATATGAGGGGATCGTTTTCAATAGATTCTTGTTTGACCTTTTTCAATATTGGCTGAATATTATCTTCTTCGTCGTCATCGTCATCTTCAACTAAAAAAAAAATGTAATTAGGGTTTATGTAGGCAAAATCAAGTTACAATTAGACAATTCTGTTATTATCGGTTTTGGAAATTGTAAAATTTGGACAGAGTTGTAAACCCGTTTTTAATACCAATTTTAATACCAAGAAATATATTATTTTAATTTTTTAAATCATTTCGTATCCACATAGGTATGACACAAATGTAAAGAATCGATCAATTGTACCTACCAATCATGCACCACGTCTGCAACTTTGCAGATCTGCAAATATGGCAGATGCAAGATACAAGCAAGGATACTATGGAGTCAAGTATCCTTGATTTGCATCTGTAAGTCCGCCATATTTGCAGATCTGAAATGTTGCAGCCAAGCAGCTCTACTATAAAAAAGGATCGAAAGGGCCAGTAATATGCCAAAATAATCTTGATCCATAGTTAATAGGTTCCAAGGGAAAATTAGTAATCTTGCCAATACTATTACCATAACTGCTAATGAATTAAACAACTACTATTGTTCAGTAGCCTTAGCACATGTGAACATATCAAATACATTTAGTTTTAGTCCTGTAAAAATATATGAAATCAAAGACACGATAATGAGTTTCAAAAATAAAAACACTGCTGGTTGCGATGGTATCTCAGCTAAAAGATTTTTTTTGCTTCTTCCAGGAAACGTTTTAGGAGTGCCGACAGATCCTATAAATATATCATTTTTATCAAGACAATTTAGTCATATCCTAAAATTTGCCAAAGGTTTATCTTACCCAACCGAAAGGTCGAAAAAAATCATGATCCCTATACTTTCCTTATCTGTATACAGATATGTTTCGCGGCATAAACCAACATGAACGTTTATGATAGATTATGTTATTTAGGCATGATCTTCCATTTTGGCCGATATCAAGGACTAGAGGGGAGGTTGTAATGACGTCTCTGTTTAGCATACTCGAGCATAAGCTCATCCACAAACTGTTATGTTAATTCATGTGTTTGATAAATGACTAAAGACGGTATACAAAGATACACATAAGTTAAATATTGTTACTGCAACTGACTGCCCACTTTCAACAGAGCATGGATTTTCCATTTTCGCACCA